ACCATGCCAATAGGTGTGAGATCTCCTACTTCTATCATATAGCATGAGCATAGCACTCACAAGTCTATCCACATATTATCAATATCCATTCTCGACAATGCTACGACTTGGGACATTTAATGATATTATTTATGTGTACTAGTATTTGTCTCACATCTTTCGATTAATCACTATTGTAAACGCATATCATAAGGACTTCTATCTAACTCTAATAAATTTCACTAGAGACTAATGTTTAGTAGTGGGCCGATGCATGAATTATGATAATTTATTTACTCGTATAAGCTATGTCGAGTCATGTAAGAGACAAATATTGAAGCTCGCTAACAACCAAACGAAATTCAATAGGGTCGAAGAGTGTCATACCCGATTGAAATATGAGCGAGAGAAGTAAGGGAAAGAGGCATTGACATCGATTTGGCATTAACCATGTGAGTTTGAAGGAATAGATCCTTTATATACAGGAGTTAAGAGAGAAATAAGCCCGGGGAGTACGGAATAACTTCCATGTTGAGAACATAAGCTAAGGAGCTAAGTTCCTTGATGGAAAAGCCATGACTAAAAAGCTGGATAAAGTCTATAACATGATTAGGATTATTACTTATAACAATAATTTCATCAACATAAACAAATAAATAGATGAATGTCCCATGTTGATGAAAGATAAACAACATTACGTCAGCAATAAAGTTTATGAACCCAAACTAAAAAAGAAAGGTGTGCAACTCAAAGTGCCATGCATGATGAAGCTCGTTTGAGATCGTAAATGGCTTTGTAAAGCTTGTATAAATGAGTAGGATGATCAAGTTTAATAAAACCGGATGGTTGAGACATGTAGACAGCTTTTGAGAGTGTGCCTTGTAAAAAGGCATTTTGACACCAAGTTGTTATAGGGACCAGTCTCTATTGACATGAAGAATTAGAATGAGATGAATTGTTGTTGGTTTAACAACTAGGTTGAAAGTGTCATGGTAGTAAATTCTCGAATGTCGGTGAAATCCTTTGGCAACCGGACATGTCTTATACCTATCAACGGATCCATCGGATAAATATTTTACATGAAAGATCCACTTGCATCCCATAATATTTATTGTAGATACTAGTGGAACAAGTTCCCAAGTCCCATTTCAAACAAAGGCGACATATTCTTCAAACATGGCTTGGGGCCACTTAAGATCCTTTAGTGCTCGAGTAGCGGTTATAAATGGCAAATTAGTGGAGTGTTGTAGTTAGGCATTGAGGTTTAATTTTATAATAAGTTTGTGTATGTTTTGCATAAAGCGAGTGATGATAACCCATGGAGTAGAGTTAGTAAGTTTTGTCGTTGGATTTTCTACTCGCTAGGTGCTCGGCTTGTTATAGGTGATTTTAGAGGTTCGATTATATAGGACAAGGTAAGTGTTTAGGCTATAGTTAGATTGGTTGTAGGAACTTTCATAAGAAGGGGTTGAGGTTGGTGATGATGTCTGTAGTGACCAAAATAAAAGAGAAAAAGGGATACTAGGTAGATGTAGTGATAGTTGATGGACGATCCACGCGAGACTAGAGGGAGGCAAAGGGAAAGACGGACTCTATAAACTTGATGTGATGGGATAAGTAGAGATGAGACATGGTCAAATCCGGATATAAATAGGCACTTTGGGTAGGGGAATAATCGATAAAGACATATGGAAAAGATCGAGGAGATAATTTATGAGATGAGTATGGTCGAAGCTAAGGTTAATAGAGACATTCAAAGCTATAAAGTTTTGAGTAGTTTGGAGACATATCAAAAAGTTTGATACATGAAGAAACACCAGTTAATGTTTGTGTAGCTAAACGATTGATGAGGTAAACCACGATGGTGAATGCTTTAGGCCAATTTAACAGAGGCATGGATACATGAAAAAGAAGGGAGAGACTAATCTCGACAATATAACAATGATGATGTTCAAAGTACCCATTATGTTTTGGTGTGTGGAGAGGGGAAGTAAAATGAGAAATACCATTAGTTGTAAGAAAAGAGGCTAAACTATATATTGTCCCCTATTGTCGAGTAAGGAGTTTTGATTTTCTTATTGAAATAGTTTTCAACTACGGATCAAAATTTTACAAATATTTCATGAACATGGGACTTTTGTTTTAAAGGTTTAAACCATATTTTAAAGGTTTAAACCATATATATTTAGTGAAGTGATCCACAATAATTACATACTATTTAAAACCATTAGTAAAGTGAATGGGTCGAGTCCATGCATGAGAGAAAATAGTTTCAAGAAGAGACGAGGTGACAAGCGTATAAAAAAGAATGTTAATTTGTGACTTTTATTACATTTACATGAATTATAAATTAAATGAGAATTAGAGTGACTTGATATTTCTAGCTAAAAATTGAAAAGAATATTTTTGTAAATTGAAGATGATAGATGCCCTAATCGATGATGCCACATGGATGATGTGATCATGACACTTGAAAGGCTAACAAAGGCAAAGACTTGATAGAGGATTCCGACCACTCATACACACCATCCTTAGTTTGACCTTGCTCGAAGAGGTGCCCTCATGTGAAGATCCTTCACAAGAAAAGAATTTGGTAAGAATTCAATAGATGTATCATTAGTTTTGAAAAATTGAGAGATGAAAATCAAATTCTTTTTCATGGTAGGCACATATAGAACATTATTTAATGTGAAGGTGTGAGAGGGAATGTGAAGGGTTTTGGAACTAGTGTGAGAGATGGTTAGTCTCATTCCATCGTTAATCATGATATCATTAGGGCCCTCGAATGGATTGTGAAGAGATAAGTTACCCAAGCTTGTGGTCACATGATGAGAGGCACCATTATCCGAAGCCATCCCGAGTTATTGGGGTTGGTTGTGGTAAGATGAGCTCATGTTTGGCACGGTACTATCATAGTGGATTGCCACTATGCAGTCGATCATGCAGTAGTTGGTAGTTGGGTGCCGGGATGTTGCTAGCAAAACACGGGGCATTATGTCACACTATGGCCCCGAGTGCATCACCATTGACAACAAAATAGGTAGAGTTGAGAAGAGAGACAACTATTGGATTTGAGAACACTAGACTTAGAGTCTGGTTATGGGGTGTTAACTTCGATTGCTTGGGATTGAAGTGGGGCCGAGTGTAGTTAGTGGTAGTAGGAAATGGTGTTCTTTGTTAATTAATTTTTTTATGAAGATCAAAAAATGAGATTGTTATGTCTCCATCATGAATGGCATCAACAATCAATTTGTAGTCATCATCAAGATCGTCATGGATGATTTTGAGAATATCCCAATGATCAAAAGGTTTGCCAAGAGTAGAAATTGCATAAGCCTAGATTTTAATGTATTGCGTAAACTCAAAAATTGTCTTAGTTCCTTTGGTGGCATTTTTAAGTTGGTCTTTGATTTGTTTGATATGTCCACGAAATGGTCGAGCATATGTGTTGGCAAGAATGCTTTAGGCTTTAGATGAGGTTTAAGACTACGAGATAAGGGGGATGAGAGATGGCGAGAGAGTGCCAACAAAAGCACTAAAGATGAGTTTGTCTTTCCTAAACCAAGTTTGGTGGTTAAGATTGGGATTTGTAGCGGTATCACCGGTGATTGTTTTTGGTGGAACAAGAAGAGAACCATCAATAAATTGGTAGAGATCATATCCAACTAAGAGAGTCTTCATCCGTAGTTTCTAGGAAAGGTAGTTGGTGGTGGTAAATTTGATGGCATTGGTCATGTTGAAGATGACAAACGAGTGTTGTATGTTCGACGATGTTGGTCATGTTGATGACGACAAGTGGTGTTATGGGTTCTTGAGAATTGGGGACGGTAACTTGATTATTGGTCATGATGGATGGTGGTATGAAAGACGAAAGAAGAAAAGAAAAGGTTTAGGGTTTTGTTGTCTCAAGAATGTGTTGCTCGATACCATAAAAATTTGAGAGAAAATAACATTTATTTCTGTTTTGTATATGAGTACAAGTATGTATATATAATAGGCAAACAATTCTAAATAGGAAGTTTCTAAATAGGAAGCGAGTAGTAGAATAGAAAACAGAATTAGCTATACATGAAAAGACTTAAGTTTATCCTTTATCACTTTATAGATTCGTCAAGAATGGTAATTATTGAACCAAACGTGAAACATAACTTTTTCTTTTTTTTTCTTTTTGGACATTTTGATCGAGAGAGGAGAAAAGGGGAAAATAAAAAGGGGAAGAATGAGAAAAATTAGAGATTGTAATTTTCTTCCCAAGGAGTGAATAAGAAAATGAGATTGAGAAGAAAGTTTTCGAAAATTATAAAAGGAAATATGTAAATATAAATTAAAGAAAACCTTTCACTTCAGAGAAGAATCGCACCACTCCTAAAAATTTCAGATTTTTAAAGCTCAGGGAAAAGTTGCATGTTGGTTCTTGCCTCCATTTGCTTGCGAGAGGGGGAGATAATGTAGCAAGTCTTGTGTATTCTCTGATTGGTATTGTATCGTACATAAGCTATACTGCCTCTATGCCTAATGTAGATAATGAATAGAAAACGAAACCTTTTTGCACATCCAGTTCTCTTTTTCGCATCAGACTTAAATGGCCAAATGATAACTTGTCTAAATTCTATAACCTTTATTGTATTAATTAAATTAAAATTTTCAACACAAGATAGTAGTTAGTGTATTTGTACAAGTTTCAAATCTAAAAAAAATTTCACTGAAGAGGTATTATTAGACATGAGTTAATATAAAATCATTTTTGAGTGTTGTTCAACAACTTGAATTTTTATAGGTAGAAATGATTATTTAATCAGCAGAGACACATTTTGTTTTAGCTATCTTTTTCATTGCTTAGCTTGTTTACTTAACAAACGTATTGATGTTCAGTTTATATATAGAGAATAACGATTCCATTTTAAAGGTTTGGTAGCAAGTTGTTATAAGATTACCACAAAACAAAAAATTAAATAAAATCACACCATTTTATTGTTATTTATTTAGAGCTAGTACACCATCAAGAATCATTTTTTCCAATTTTAGTCACAGCCACCAGGGGCAAATCCAATCCTTTCTTTTGCACCATCATAGACGACTGTGTAAGTCCGTTGCTGAGTATTCCCAAGTACTGCAACTTCATCATCCAATGCTGCAAAAGCCAAGCAGTACTCCTTGGACTCGTCAACCCTGACCATGATCCCCGACACATCGATATCCACCTCAACCTCACCTTTGAAGAACACACTAACCGCAGGTATTGTAACCGTGCTATAATTACTAAAGTTATATCATGTGTCTAGAGAGTCAACTTGGTGCACCATAGGATAACCTTTCATCATTTCTCGGAACATTGATCGGAGCACCGAGTACGCCTTCGGAGGCAGATAAGTGAACACTGTACCAGAGTCGATGGTGCAACGAATCTTGAAAACCGATGTATCTATCAATCGTGTACGGCCTCCGACTCTAATTCCAGTCATTTCGATGTCGTAGTCCGAAGGTGGTGCTCTTTTGGACACTGGAGAGAATTTCACATCCTTCGACACTTCACTGCCGAAAGTAAGGTAACCAGTTGAGCTGGGAGCCTATGGCATACAATAAGAGAAGAGTTTGTTGCATCTGTCAGCAGTTTGGGATGGAAAAGATATTGTTTCGCGGTTCAGTCCCAATACACCAGAATTTTCTTCATCTAAATCACCAGATATTTGATCGCTGCATCCAATCAAGATGTTCTTGAATTCATAATTTAATGGTTTAAAGGAAATTGTTTCCATCGCATAAATTCCTTTGCAGGTGTCGTTGTCTACATATGTAATTTTGTAGCTGCACTTCGAAGAGGAGCATTCTGCAACATGGAAAATATATAGGCTTAATTTTAATTTTTGATTTTTTTCAATATTGTTTATAAGTTAATTAAAACTCTTTATATATATATATATTACCTGCATCTTCGATTGTTTGGCACTGCTTTGAGGAACATGGTATGGGTTTGAATGAGGTTGATTTGGTTGGGTCAAACACCGGTGCATTTCGATAGCAAGGCTTGCATGGCTTACATTGAGTCCAAATGAGGCCACTGCCTGTGTCAAATAAGAGTGGAAATTCCTTCTTCGGCGTGCCCAAACCAACATTGACAACATAGTCAGTTGCAGTGGCCTTGGATAGACCATGGAACGGGATCCCACTCTTCATGTCCTCACACCTATGTTTGATAGTGCATTCCGTTTTCTTAATTTATTGTGCTCAAACTTATTCATATATATGAAATGCAATTAGTTTTCAGACATGTAGTCTAGATTTGGAAATGTTAAGGAATTTTTTTTTTTTTTTTTTTTTGTCATCCAAATCATTAAATAGACAATATTAGATTTTTTATCCTCACAATGTTGTAGATTGGATAAAATATATAAAATTATTTAGAAAAATCATTTAATTTGATAATCTGTTTTATGGTGTAAATCTATAAAAATATATGAAATCAAAGGTGAAAAACAATATTTATAATGTTTTGATAAAAAAATTTGTATTTAACTATGTCTTATTTGAGTTTTTCATAACGTTTCCTTTAGAAAAAAGATTTTATCCTTTTTAATCCATGGATTATTAACTAAAAAGAAAATTAAATAATTTTTTTGTTAAAAAGCTTTAGTATTTCATGAGATTGTGTAAAAAAATAATAATAATAATAATAACAATTATTAAAAGCTTACATTGAACAAATAATTTTTTATTTTTATTTAATGTTGATGAGAATATCGATTTTTGAAAAAAAATATGAATTTAATTTTTATATATTTATTTATAAAAGAATGAATAACATTAAAATAAATTAAAATTGTCATTAAATATAATTTTAAATTAATTGGATGAGAATTTTAAAAAAATGATAAATTAAAGTAGTAAATTTTAAATAATAAAAATAATTAACAAAAACTACTAAAACAAAATAGGACCAAATCACAATACAATTAAAGCTTGAAATTGAAAAAAAATATATATATAGAAAAATTGAGGACCATATAACTTTAAATTAATTGGATGAGAATTTTTTTTTTAAAAAAAAGACAAATTAAAGTAGTAAATTTTAAATAATAAAAATAATTAACAAAAAAAAACACTAAAATGAAATGAGATCAAATCACAATACAATTAAAGTTTGAAATTGAAAAAAAAAAGTATATAATTTTTTTATGAGAATATGGATTTTTGAAAAAAATGTGAATTTAATTTTTATATATTTATTTACAAAGGAATGAATAATATTAAAATAAATCAAACATATCGAGTAAATATAATTTTAAATTAATTGGATGAGAATTTTAAAAAAAATGACAAATTAAAGTATAAAATTTTAAATAATAAAAATAATTAACAAAAAATACTAAAACAAAATGGGACCAAATCACAATACAATTAAAGTTTGAAATTTAAAAAAAAATGGATAGAAAAATTGAGGACCATATAATTTTAAATTAATTGGATGAGAATTTAAAAAAAAAATCACAAATTAAAATAGTAAATCTTAAATAATAAAAATAATTAACAAAAAACACTAAAACAAAATGGGACCAAATCACAATACAATTAAATTTTGAAATTAAAAAAAAAGTAAAAATATTTTTTATTTAATGTTGACAAGAATATCTATTTTTGAAAAAAATATGAATTTAATTTTTATATATTTATTTACAAAAGAATGAATAATATTAAAATAAATCAAAACTATCAGTAAATATAATTTTAAATTTATTGGATGAGAATTTAAAAAAAATGACAAATTAAAGTAGTAAATTTTAAATAATAAAAATAATTAACAAAAAACACTAAAACAAAATGGGATCAAATCACAATACAATTAAAGTTTGAAATTCAAAAAATAATATATAGAAACATTTAGGACCATATAATTTTAAATTAATTGGATGAGAATTTAAAAAAAATGATAAATTAAAGTAATAAATTTTAAATAATAAAAATAATTAACAAAAAATATTAAAACAAAATTGTAACCCCCGTAAAAACCTTTATACATAATGCGACGTGTATTAGAATAATTCTATATATATGTATATTAAGAGTAAGTATAATTCTCATTTCATCATGAGAAATTAATGCTTGAAATATGTGATTTATGTTAAATTAAAGTTATTGGGCTTAAGATTAATGGTTTAATTATTAAAGAAATCAAATATGCAAAATCAGTGTTTTAAGGACTATATTCTGCCCGAGTTTTGTGTGAATTATTTGAGAACTTTAGAGTAATTTTTGGGTCAACCTTAAAGAATGAAAGTTGTTCATCTATGTGTTTAATATGCATGTATAAACGTTTATAATATTTGGACCTATACATTAAGAGTTATACCAATTATAGTGAGGGTTGTTTCGAAATGCATTCTGCTGGAATTTTGAGAGAAGAATCTGCCCGAATCTTGTGAGATTTATTTGATGCTTTTAGAATGATTTTTGAGAAAAACGTAAAGAATAAAAGTTGTTTTTCTATGTGGTTACTAGCTCTATATAAAATTTCATAAATTGTGGATACATATAGAAAGCGTTATGCACATTTTAGTATAGATGGGTTAGGAGGAAACACTGCTGGAATTTTGGGGGGAAAAGAAACTCCGAATTTTAAAAATGGAATTTCTGAATTATTGATGAAAGAAATTTGTCTAATTACATTAACCCAGCTTACTAATGTTTTTTTTATCTATCCTAACTTTTCTTTAGCCACCTAAGCACTTGAATTAAATGCTTAGAAGCCAAATCATCACCTTTGACTTCCAAAACATGCCAGCTTTGCCTTCCAAGCTTCCTCCACTTTACATTTGGCCTAATTAAATTTTAACACTTATGATATAAATAAATGTGAGGATAAAAGGTGGGTATATAAGGGAAAGAGAGGGTTAAATGGCTGTCATTTTTAGGTCAAAAATCGTAGCCATCCAGAATTCAAAAGAGAAGCCAAATTGAAGAGAGAAAAACAGCAAAAAGAGAGAAAGAAAGAAAAGAGAAAGAAAAGGGAAAAAGGAAAGAAAAAGAGCTAAAGAAATTCTAATCAAACTTAAAAGAGGTAAGTAGGTTTCATTTATTTTGGTTGATTAATGTCTTAAATTATTTTTTTTAAGTTATTTTGTTAGTGTTTATTTCATGGGTTGTAATAATTTTCAATGGTTATATGCTTGATGCTTAGAATAAATCTATGTATGGATGCCTTGTTGTGATGATTTATGATGTTTATGTTGCTTTGAAAATGTCCAAGTATGTGGTGATGGGTTGGATTGAACTTGGACCAAATTTAAGTGAACTAAAACATGTTTAAAGTTGGATTGGAATGAACTAATAAATTAGTGTTAATAAGGAGTCAATTCTGTCCGAATTTTGGGGTGTATATTCAAGGATTTTAGATCGATTTCTAGGTGAAACTTAAAGCATAAAAGTTGTTCATCTATGTTTAAACTAACTCCCTTTAAAATTTCTTGGTCATTGGATTCGTGTACAAGGAGTTATACCCGATTTAGTATGGATAGCTCTAGATAAACCACTATTAGGCAGATTGCTCCCTAAGTTTCAAAAATTTATAATTAATTGTGTAATTGGTATTTAGACCTAATTTTTGGATATGTTATAAATAAATATGTCTAGTATCTAAAATAAAATAAGTAAGATTTAATTATTTTTTGAAATTAGAAAATTATTTACTCGATTAGGAGTTGCCCGGTAATAAACCCTAAAACAAAAAAAATAGACTTGGACAAAATTAATAGGTTTGAAATAAACTAAATGAGCTTGGACTAAATAAAATGGAATTAAATAGAGTCAATGGGCCTAGGATAAATTTAATGAGCTCGAATTAAAGTAAATGGACTTGGACCTTCTTTTAAATATTAATGAAACTAATGAACAATATTAATGAGCGGAGATTGTGTTCCCGCTGTGGGTATCGGGATTGGTATGTGAGAAATGAATAAATTTTGAGTGTGGGTTGGACCATGAGTATGGCATGAGAATGAAGGGTTGGTACCCGAATTTGGTTGAATGTGATAAAATATGTCATCACGTGCATCATGTGCATAGTGGGTGGTTTAAGACAAGTCAATTGATTGAAAATGGTTTATACATCTAGGTTTGATAACCTAAGCTGGAATAAATGGGTATTAGTAGTCCAGGTACTCTAGGATGTGTGCCTGCACTATTAGACGATCGATTTTCGCTAATAGTAGTTACAACGAGGGATAATTTCGTTATAGCGAGAAGATGATCCGAGGATCATCCGGATGAAATCAAGCGTGTGCTTACTCGTTAGACGATGGATTCTCGCTAACGGTAGTTACAATGAGGGATAATTTCGTTGTAGCAGAAGGTGATCCGCGGATCACCCGGATGATAAATAGAGTAGATCGGCTAATACCCGGGGTACCCGAGATTAAAATTTATGAGTATGGTGGGAAGTTAAAACAACATTGCATATCACGTGCATCACCCCGCTTACCGAGCTTCGGCTCACCTCGTTGTTATTTTTTTATGTCTTGACGAGAAAAAGGACGAGTTGGTACGAATGCTGCTGGCTCCTCCTAAGCGGCTCATGTGAGGCACTATTTATTAGTTTTTATTTTGTACGTAAATTTGGGGTATGGAGTTCGTGAGAAATTGAATATCGCCCGTAATGTTTTATTAATGTATTTAATTATGTTATGTAAATTTTATCTTAAGGAGTTATATACGTAATGTACTTGTTAAAGTCCTAAGAATATCATAAGAAAACTATTTAGAGTTTAGGGTATGTCGGCGTAACGCGCTTCATCCGATACCTTACTTGGGTAGTAGAAATATGACTAGGGCGGGGCGTTACGGCTTTTGCATTAAACGAGGCTAAGTTTATTATTTTTCTAGTTAAGCCAACACTAGAACATATCTAGTTAGTTTTTGATCGATCACTAAATTGTCCTTTTAAGACAAATCGGTCCAAATGCGGTATCACTAAAAAGTAATTATGACTAGTTTATGTGAGAATCGGAGGAGAGAATTGAAGAAGTAAAATTCATATGAATTATGTTTCGGAGAGTTATCAATTTCTCATTCTTCTTAGCTATATATACAAAGTAGAGAGAAAGGTAAGAACGATGACTCGTAACTAACTTGTTAACTATATAACTAACTAGCTAATTGCTTGATAATTAGTTATAACGGAAAAA